CTGGAACTACAGGAACCTGCCACAATGCCTGGCTATTTTGTTTGTTGTAGTTGTCATTGTTGTTTAGTTGTCCTGGGCCAGGTTTGGACCCACCGGCCTCAGGGTATGTGGCCGGCACCCTAACCACTGAGCTATGGGTGCCAAACCTACTTGAAGATTCTTTTGGATTTTTTCCTGTGTAGGTAAGGGAAGTTTTATCTTTTTAATTTATTTTTTTATTTTTTACAGTCCTTATCCCTTTAATATTTTTTTCATATCTTGTACTGTTTTGGACCTCTAGTACCATGTTCAACAGAGACAGTGACAGGCATCACTGTCTTATTTTATTTTATTTATTTTTTCATTTTTTTGAGACAGAGTCTCATTTTGTCACCCTTAGTAGAGTGCAGTGGCGTCACAGCTCACAGCAACTTCATACTCTTGGGCTCAAGTGATACACTTGCCTTGGCCTTCCAGAGTGCTCTTTTTAATCATAGCCAATGTAATGTGTGTGAAGAAGTATCTCATTGTGGTTTGATTTGCATTTCCTTAATGATTAGTGATTGTGAGCATCTTTTCACATGCTTCTTGGCCATTTGTGTATCTTTGGAGAAATGTCTATGCAAAGCCTTTGCCTGTTTTTTAATTGAGCTGTTTTTATGCTATGTTTTGTTGTAGGAATTCTTTATATTTCTTGATACTAATCCCTCTCCTCACACATGATTTGCAAATATTTTGTTCTATGGATAGACTCCTTTGATAGATAAAAGTTTTTCATTTTGGAGGTCAGGTGTGGTGGCTCATACCTGTAATCCTGGCACACTGGGAGGCCAAGGTGGGAGGATCACTTGAGTTCAGGAATTTGGAGGCCAGCCGGGGGAAAAAGTGAGACCCTGTATCTGCTCAAAAGAGAAAAATTAGCTGGGCATTGTGACACGGACCCGAAGTCCCAGCTACTCAGAAGACTAGGAGGATCACTTGAACCCAGGTGTTGGAGGTTGCCGTGAGCGAGGCTGATACCATGGCACTATAGCCTGGGCAACAGAGTGAGACTGTCCGAACATTTTTTTTTTTTTTTCATTTTGATGAAGTCTAATTTATCTATTTTTTTTCTGGCTTTAGATTTTGTTTCTTTCTTTCTTTTTTTTTTTTTTTTGAGACAGAGCCTCAAGCTGTCCCCCTGGGTAGAGGGATAGAGTGCCATGGTGTCACAGCTCATAGCAACCTTAAACTGTTGGGTTCAAGCAGTCTCCTGCCTCCGCCTCCCAAGTAGCTGGGACCACAGGCGCCCGCCACAACACCCGGCTATTTTTTTTTGGTTGCAGCTGTCATTGTTGTTTTGGCGGGTCTGGGCTGGGGATTCGAACCCGCCACCTTAGGTGTACGTGGCTGGCGCCTTAGCCGGTTGAGCTATAGGCGCCAAGCCTAGATTTTGTTTCAATAAGTGATAGTCATTATTATTATTATTCCCTCTTTGCTTTATTGGGAAAAAGAGATGGAGGAAGAAAGAGATAAAAGGAAACAAAAGGTATTCTGAATAGATTTGGGCTTATTCAGTAGTGGAGCAATGAGATTACTGATAATTTAATCACCAATTTATTGTCACATTTTGGACACTGTACTTTAGCACTAGGGGTACATAATTAGTTAATGAAGACTTCTTATTTAGTGAGGAAAACAACCAGAGTAAGATAATTTCCACACAAACAAATGACATGGAAGTGATATACTAGGTGGCCATAAAGTTCATGTGCAGGTTAAAAATCATTGTCTATGGTCACCCCGTATGCATACTGTACATATGAGTGCCATGAACTATGGTGCTAGAATTGAGGTGGAAGCCCCTAACCACTCAAAACAGTCATAGAAATCTTCATAGAGAAAGAAACTGGAAGGGGAGTAGAAAATGCCTTGCTAGAGAAGGTGGGGAAGGGCAGCTTGTGCGAGGAAGAGCACATAGAAATAAGTGTGGATATGTGTAGTCCAATTTATGAAAGGGAAACAATGTTCTGGGGCTGGAATTTGTAAAAAATGGTGAGAAGATATAGGCAATGTTGGAGTGAGTTAGGCCGGGGCCTGATTATGGTGTCTTACTTAAATGGTAGGACAAAGAACTGGTAGGCAAAGAGGAATCATTCACTTAAATTTTTTTTTCTGTTTTCCCAAACAATCCAAATTCATTATAAAATGTTAGGAAAAGCACAAAGAACAGACTAAGAAACACCGGGATCATCAAATATTTTTATTTTGGGAGAAGCTAACAACATCATGTAAAAGATAATTCTAGTAACAGTCTGTAGAGAGGCTGGGAGGAGAGAGGCTGGAGGACAGGAGATGGGTTCAGAGGTTACTGCACCAGTACTCCTAAGAGGTGAAGGTCTGAACTAAGTAGCAGCGGGGATGGAGATGTGGGGAGAGATCTGAGACATTTCTGAGGGGGAATCAACCGAGTCTAGTGACTGATCAGATGTGACAGGCAAGAAAGAACAGAAAGCATGAGTGATCCCGAGATTTCTAGCTTGAGAGAATGGAATTTATCAGTTAAGTTGGCTGTGACTTTGCTGAGTAAAGTCCTGAGATATGGAATATAGGATAGCTAAATTTCAGGGGGTTGGGACTTATACTAAAATCTGGAACAAGAGATCCAAGTGCGTAGTTTTTGTAGGAGTGAGTCTGGAGGTTGGGTGTTCTCCGCTTATGGATTGCACTGAACTCCTGAAAAATCTACCCAGGTACTTTTCCACCTAAGGATTAACTGGACAATTCTAGGGCAATGATTGAAACTGTATATTCCATTGTTAATCAGAAATGAATCATTAAACTCTGTTAAAAATATGTATATGCAAACTCCAGTTAGGCATAAGGGGGTTTATTCTGTGACTTTCTTTGTTACTATGTGTATTAACATTTGTCATAATTTTTTTTTTTTTAATACAGAGTGTCACTCTGTCACCCTGGGTTGAGTGCTGTCGCATTACCATAGCTCACAGTAACCTCAAACTCTTTGGTTTGCGCAATCCTCTTGCCTCAGCCTCCTGCGTAGATGGGATTACAGGCATGAACCACTATGCCTGGCTAGTTTTCTTATTTTTAGTAGAGAAGGAGTCTTACTTTTGCTCTGGCTGGTCTCCTGAGCTCAAGTAATCCATCTGCCTTGGCTTTCCAGAGAGGTAGGATTACAGGGATGAGCCACCATGCCCGGCCCAAAAATTTTTAAAGAAAAATATTTAGTAATTTAAAATATTTAGGTATTTCAGGTTGTAAGATAATATCATTATGTATTTATCAAACAATTATTGAGTGTCGATGTGTGAGCCAAGATGAGGAAAATAAAGATATATAAGGTACATATAAGTGCTATTAAAGTGCTAAAAATAAAATGTGTAAAGAATTAAGAGCTGAGGGACTGCTTCTATGATAACTGTGGTGACCTGCACCACTTATTGGGGGAGGACACCGGTTAGGAAGCATGAATTTCTAATGGACTCATTTGACATAGTTTCATAATAAAGCTCCAAAACTAAGGTAGAAAGGACCTAAACTGCCTCCTTTTTGGTGAGGCTCCTGCCTAGACTCTATTTCTTACCAAAGGTGGTTGTGGTCTGCTCAACACTCAGTGGGAGGAGGCTAAGAGTAAGTTTCACTCGGTTTAAAAGTTTGGTTTGGCCTAGAGCATTGAATATGGCCTTGATTCCAAGAAAAAATGTCAATATTAGAAAATGGAAAAGTGTTTTTAAAAAACATAATTATGACTCCAAATCTGCTATGGAAAAGATTGACTTCAGTTACTTTTAGGACAACCTTATCATCTAGGCATTATCATTCTTTTAACCTGATCAGGCTTTTAATTTACAAGTCAGCATTAATTCACAGTCATACTAATGCCAACCCTGTCTCTGCCTCAGGATTCCTTGGTTTAACCTCTCTGGACTTGTTTCTCCATCAGCAATAATTGTCCTGCCAATTTCACAGTCATTGAGGGACCAAATAGAGAAACAAATGCAAACACTCTTTGATAAGTATAGCATTAAATATAAATGAATCATCATTATTATTCTTAAAGTCTTGTTTATAACCATGGATATAATACACAGCTGAGTGAGCATGAGGTGGCCAGACGTCACTGTTCTAGTAAGTTTTCTGTAGCATCTACTTCAGGAAAATAAAAAAACGTCTTCACATTCAGCCTTCGCTTTGTTGACCACTCAACACCCTCTACTCTTCCCTCTTGCTTTTCTGAGAGGTTGTATCTAGGACAGCATTCCCCAGAACAGACATGCAGGTGCAGTCTCACCAACGTTTATCGACCTCCAAGCTAGAACAGAAGCTGGAGGTGCATAGGTGAATAGGCAGAGTCTCAGCCTTCAGGAGCTTACAGCTTACAGTGGTAACCGGTAACATGTTTTGTGTTAGGTGAGAGGGAGTTCACCCCCCCACGAGCTGCAGACAAGCCGCAGGGGGAAGAGAGGGCCCCCGTTTGGCTCTGGAGATCGACCTGGCTAAAAGCGAGGATAGAAGCTCCATTCTTGTTTGCAGCTTGGAAGGCAGCCCTTCTGTCACTCCTCTCTCTGGGAGTCCAGAGAAGATAAAAAAAAAATCATTTTCTACAACAGATACAGCCATAGTCAGAACTTAGCGCTTGGCCCCATTAGTCCCTCTTAAGGAACCACTGCGCCCTCCAGCGGATGGACAGCCGCAGAACGCCCGAGGAGCCCAGTCCCCCAACACCTTAACGTTCTTCCTCTAAAGGGAGAGGAGCGGTTTTTTGGTTCCCGCCCCCTTACGGAGTACCGCCCCGACGCAACATCATCCTGTGGCACCGATTGGCTGGATCCTGTGCGTGAAGGCGTTGCGTGTGGGGCGGGCGGATGAGCGCTGTCCGTAAGGCCTCAGCCGAGTGTCCCCGGCCGCCGCCCCCGCTGTCGCGCCGCATCCGCCCCTCGCCTGCCTAGAGGATACAGGGGACAGTCAGCGTGCTAAGTGATTGCGCAGCCGCTAAACATTTGCGCCATCCTCCTTTTCTATCCGGCGGCTCTTCTCGGCCAGGTCCAGGTCGAGGGGGAAAATGGCGCCGGCGCCCCTAGGCGTCCGGGAGGAGCGGTTGCTGGGGTGTCGGTCCGACCCGCTGTCCCGACTCCTTTTCCTTGCCCAGGCGGTCCTGCTCCTCCTGCCCACCGCCCGAGCTGGTCTTTGCCCCGCACCCTGCTCTTGCCGCATTCCCGTCCTGGACTGCAGTCGCAGGAAACTGCCCGCGCCGAGCTGGAGGGCGCTGTCGGGCTCGCTGCCCCCTGCCACCGCGAGTCTGTGAGTAGAGTGGACAGGCGGAGTGACCGAAGGAAGCGGGAGCGTCCCCGCTCGTGGGGAGCAGGAGGAGCCGGCCTGGGTGGAGGGCGTGGTCCCCATCCTAACTTAGGAAGGAAACTGCCACTGCCATCCAAACTTTGTTTTGGATGATGGCAGTATGAGGACCAGTGTTAAGTTTCTTAGGGCCTGGGGGTCTGATTTCCATTCCTGGGGAGGAGCTGGGGCGGGGATATTTAATGTTAAGGACTCAGCAGGTCCTAGACACCAGCGTTGACTCACCACGGTTGGAGGGGCGGGTCGATCACCCACTGATGCTCCTTGCCCACTTTGGATGCATCATTTGTTGTGCACCATAGCTTGAATCTCAGGCATGTCATTTTATAACCAAGATCGCCAAAGACACAAGAATTATCTTGATCGCATATTGGCTCGTTTTTTGCTGTAGTTGTAATGCTTTGGGGTTGAAAACTCATGTATCAGGAGATTCTGTACTGACCAAGAATATTTTTATAAGTAGCGTTCTTGATCTAATTTAGGATTCACTGGAAAAAAGGGAAGGAGTATTTGTTTTCAAAGTTATTTGATACTTTCATTGTTTTCAGTGTATTTTCTTGTGGCAGAGAATCCCCAAATCAGTGCTGTTTATGTATGTATGAGAAGCAAGTTCAGTGGTTGAAAGAATTCTTCGGCAGTCTCTGCTGCTGAGTTTTCACATTGATAGGCCTTTTATTAGACAGTGACACCTGGAGAGCTCATTAGTCTGAGTCAGCTTGGTGGCATTAGGAACAACAGTAGGTAATAAATGCTGCAATTATGGGGCTTCTCAACTACTAACATACAGTTATTTTTCTTCGACTAACTGAGCAACACGTTTATTGACAGACTTCTAACAGAGTGATCACTAATGAAAGAGTCATCACTGAAAAGAATAGTTTGAGGTGCAATTAAAATATGAGGGCCTGACTGGATTTTCCATGGAGATAAAGTACAAGTAGGTCTGTTAAAGAGGCTCAGAGGTATTTATATATTTGCAAATAGTTAGCATGGATAGGAAGGCAAACTATCTCATATTGTCATTGAGAAAATTAACATAACCAAATGTTGTAAGCATGTAACCGCAATGTAATAAGATGTTTTCTGTTGTCTTATGGTAGTGATACTTGTGGCTAATTCTGGTTTTATTAACCCAAATTATATTTAACAGTTTGTGTCAGTGTACAGTGCAGTCTGAAATCTATCTAGCACAGCATCTTTGTTATGCAGCCAGTGCCTTTTTCTAAGAAATTCTTGGAACAGCTACCTGATCATGACATAGTATATCTGGCGCAGGTTTAAAAACAAAACAACTTAATTTAGCTGTAATTGACATAAATATGACATACTTTTTAAGATCCTCCATTGTTAGGTAAACATTAACTGGAAATAATTTTGTGTAAGATACATTTATTTTGTGTCTGTGTTTGGTTTTTGTTTAATCAAGATAAACTGCCTAAATCCAAGTGACAGTCACAAATTTTAAATGTCCTATAATGAAATTGACATTTTCAGTTAAAGTGAAATGCCTTAGCAGTTCTATTGTATAAATATAATTGGGTGGAAGTCTTATATTAATAGAATACAGAATATTAAAATATAGGATTGTACTGTTTCATATTGAGAAATGAAACATTGTTCAGCAGTTGCCTTCAGCTATAAAACCACCAGGTACATTTGGGTTTTTTTCTTTTTTTTTTTTTTTTTATTGAATAGTAACTGTGTACATTAATGCACTTTTGGGGTACAGTGTGGTGTTTTCACAAACAATCTGAAACACTTCCATCAAACTGGTTAACATAGCCTTCACGTAATTTTCTTAGTTATTGTGTTAAAATGTTCATATTCTACTCATAGAAAGATTCACTTGTACCCTTGTAAGATGAACCACAGAAGTGAACCCTCGAATCTCCCTCTCTCCACCCATTCCCCCCTCCCTCCCCCTTCCCCGTATCCTTAGGTTATTAGGTTATAGCTTTCATATAAAAGGTATAAATTAGTTTCATAAGGGTTTCTTTATATAATTTTGAATTTTTAAAGCACATGCCATGCTTCAAATGTATTAGTGATTAAAACTCAGACACTCAAACTTGTAACCATCGTTAAAATGTGGACAAAATTCATTACCTGTTGCCCAGGATGGAGTGTAGCAGACTCATCACAGCTCACTGCAACCTCAAACTCCTGAGCTCAAGCCATCCTCCTGCTTCAGCCTCCCTTTCTGAGTAGCTGGGATTACAGGCATGTTCCACTTTGTCTGGCTAATTGTTCTGTCTTTTATAGAGATGGGGTCTCCCTCTTACTCAGGCTGGTTTTAAATGCCTGACCTCAAGTGATCTTACAGTCTCAGACTCAGCCTACCAGAGTGCTAGGACTGTAGGCAAGAGCCACAGTGTCTGGCTTTTCAGATACTGTCTTTGTAAGAAATTCTCTCTAAAATATTATTTTCTTATTCAAGAATTAATTGGATACTTCATGCATGTAGAGCTCTGTATCACATTGTTGTGATTACACACCCAGACACACAGTGTGTGTCCATTGGAAGAGTAGGTATATCACTCAGCTTCTTGTTTGCCAAGTAAAAGTGCTAGAACCCCTTTTCCACCACTCATTTGTTGTCATGATTTCATGATAGCACAGAAATACTAAAAAGTACATACTTTTAGAGTTAAGAACATTCTATAGGTTATTTAAATTTAGGTTTTGGGTTTTTTTTTGAGACTGAGTTTCACTTGGTTACCCTTGGTAGAGTGCCCTGGTGTCTGAGCTCACAGCAACCCTAAACTCTTATGTTCAAGCAATTCTCTTGCCTCAGCCTCCCAGGTAGCTGAGACTACAGGCACTTGCCATGCCTGGCTATTTTTAGAGATGGAGTCTCACTCTTGCTCAGGCTGCTCTTGAACTGCTGAGCTCAGGCAATCTACCTGCCACAGCCTCCCAGAGTGCTAGGATTACAGGTGCGAGCCACCACGCCTGGCATTTAAATTCAGTTTTAATGAAAAATTTGTAACCTTGTTCTTATTTTCATTTCACTGTAGACTGCTGAAAATTTCATTTTGGATTGGTATTTGGGAATTTCTGCTGTACTAGAATAGTTTTATTGGATTATATATGTATATAGTTACTTGAAGTTTTTTAGCGCCTTCTGTTCTTGTTGTAATTGTTTAATGTTTGCTTGCATTTGTTTCTTTGGAATGGCTGTGAACAGATTAGTTCTTTAGCATGCAAAGAGGACATTAGCTTATGTTGAATAACTCTAGGAAAGTCTTTCCAGATTAATAGTAATGTGTGACTTGAACTTCAACCTCTGTAGTTACGTTAATGACTTTGGCAAAAGGTTTTCAGTTTTAACATTTGGATTCAGTTTTGAACCCCTTCAGAGATCCTGAGCTCACTGCCACTGACTTGAGTGATGTTAAGGAAAACCTGCAAAGCTTTGCTTGTTTTTTCTATTTCCTTCCTAAAAGGACAGATAATTTGTAGTTTAAAAAAAAAAAAAAAGAAAAATTCTAAACACAAGCACATTAAAAGTTACTATTAACTCCAGCTCCCATCTTTCTCTGTTTATGGGGTGTTTTATTTCATTGCCTCAAAATTCAGAAAAACTATATGTACAAATAATCCTTCATTTCTTCTGATCATCTTTGGTTTTTGTAGGGCTTTACAGCATCTGTTAGATATTTACTAAGTATCAGTGGATAATTAGTTGTATGCACAGTATCATGAAGGCTTTCTTCTGTAGTTTGAGTTTTTAATAGTCTGAAACTATATACCCGCTACCTACTTCTAAAGTTGGCATTAGGGATGTCTCTCATATGTGCTACTCACACCTACTGGTAAATCCCTAAATTAAATTGAGGATGAGGGTGGGACAAATTGCTCTAATGTTTCTAAAATCCCATCTGCAGTAGAACCTCTGTAAGTTGACCACCCAAGGGACTCTTGACAAACTGGTCAACATACAGATATGCTCAACATAAGGAACTAGGCCTTAGTGCATGTGGTGCATGTCTGGCTTGTGAAAATTCCATCAACTTAAGAAGGTGGTCAGTGTTGGCATTTGGTCAACTATGGAGGTTCTACTGTACTTTGTCTTTTGGCTTATATGTTACTGCTCTACCCGTAACGGAGTTTCACTTTTCAGTCATTTTGAAGTATGTACAATGTGCTTTTCTTTCACTGCATTATGATTTTAATATATTTTGTCTCTTTTATCTTGGTATATCTGGGGAAGAGGTAAACAGAAGATGGGAGCCCACTAAAGTATAGTGTGATCTTTGAGGGCATTTTTGTTAGTTGAGAAGATACCTGAACTTTGCCTGCAATGAGAGAGCCTTAAGAAATCTGATCTAATACAGATGTGGTACAGATGTCTTAAGGTTGGTTGTTGCATAAGTATACTCTGGATTATACTGTAGATTGAGCCCAGCATAATTTCACCAGTTTAAACAAGCAATTGTGAGACTGCTTGTTTTGTCACACTTTTCTTTAGCATTGATTATCATCTTAATTTTCTTTCCTAATTTAGTTCAGGAAAAAATTGTGTTGTGTTTTCATTGCTTTTCTTGGTACATTATGTTTCTCTTAATATTAGCGTTGCCTCTACTGTTTCCTTTATCCTAAATGGCAATTATTTTAGATGTGAGAACCAGTTGGAAAGGAGAAAGTGTGATAAGTGTATCCATAAGGATTTTGACCTTTAACCTTTACCCTTTTGACAATCTTTTTTATTATTTTTATAGATTTATGGGGTAGATATACAGATTTTCCTAGTGATGAAGTCTGGGTTTTTTGTTTAATCCTTACTCAATTAGTGTACGTGGTACCCATTAGGTGATTTCTCATCCCATACACTCTTCTCACCCTCCTGACCTTCTGAGTCTCTAGTGTCTAATTATTCCACTCTGAGGGTCCATGTGTACTCTTTATTTAGCTCCCACTTGTAAGTGAGAACATGTAGCATTTGA